AAATCCAGAGTCAGATATAGGGGTAAATGCTGAAAGATCAGAGAAGCAGAGCATCCAGTAGAGTTCTTATCTCTACTGACTCCTCAGACCGAATTGCAATCCTGTCCCTACGAATCCTCAGAAAGAATGCTCTGAGCTCCTGTCTTCTCCTGCCTTATAGTTCCCTCTCCGCCCAGCCATATCATTCCTGTCTCCACCTCCCTAGTGCTGGGATTAAAGGTGTGTGAACCCAAGTTCTGGGATCAAAGACCAGGTTCTGTTTCTTTTTTAGACTGGATCAATCTTGTGTAGATCAGGGTAGCCTTGAAGTCACAGAGATCCAGCTGCCTCTGTCTCCCAAGTGCTGGGATTAAAGGTTTGTGCCCACCACTGCCTGGCCTCTATGGCTAACTAGTGTTGCTAGCTTTGCACTCTGATCTTCAGGCAAGCTTTATTTGTTACAGCACAAGCAAACTATCACCACATATCACCTCTCTGCTTAATTTCCTTTTCTTGTAAGTGGCCCTGGGTCTCTGAGAATGACCTCTTACTGCAAACCTCTTCTGGATCCAGTGAGACCACCCCTAATGCCTGAAAAATGTTGTTACGATAAATCTTTCTGCCAAAAGCCGCCTGAGCCCCACCGCCACGTGTGAGCTTTATGCCAGCTGCCCACCCGAGTTAGGAACCAAATGAATACACAGAAACTTGTATTAGGTACGATGCTGCTTGGCCAATGACTAGGATTCCTCATCTGTTAGCTCAGTCTTAATTATCATAAATCTATATATTTTATAAGACTTATCTTATCAGATGCCTTATTGGCGTCCCTCCTTGCCGGTGGATCACATTGTGCCGCTGGAACAGGAGCGGAGGGGGAAAGAGGGATGCTTCCTGTTTCTCCTTCATTAAATATGAGTCTCCTTACTATGTCACTTCCTGCCTGGATCATCACTTATCTACTACATTTCCCAGAATCCTCTTTGACTCCTAGTCCTAACTTGCTGTCTCATTGGCCAAACAGTATTTTATTTAACAATCAATAAGATAAACATAGACAGTACATTCCCCATCAAAATGTCCTTGATTTTATTAGAAAATCTTACAGTCACACATGATTCGCTTAGGGGTGAAGAAGCCCTATAGAGTTATCTCCCCTGCTGGCCTGGTAGAGGTAAGGATTGTTCTAACAGGGGGATGGTAACAGACCACCCCCACAGACTAATGCCCTTCATCTAACTCCTCCTACATGGAATATATATATGAGATATTTTGGGAGAGGAGAGGATTATAAGGCTTGACTCAAAGCAAAGTAGTATTCTCTCCACCTCCACCCCACAGCCATTGGTAAAACAACATCTCAAAGAGTAAATAAACAAACAAACAAATCCAGACCTGAAAACAAAGAGAATCAATTCAGAATGTGAGAACTCATCACCTCATTGGAGCAAGGCAGGAAGACACCAAGGTCTCCTGGTAGTGATGTTATGTTAAAAGGAATAAGCAGTATTTTACATAGCTAGAGAGAATGTCTGGAACCTCTTGTGGGTTTGATACAAAATTCAGTGCATTTTTACAAGGTCATAAAGCAGATTTGTTGTGGGTTTTGTTTTTATTTTTATTTATGTGTATGTGTGTGCCTGTTTGTCTGTATGTGCACCAGGTGTGTGCAAGTGCCCTCAGAGGCCAGAAGAGGGTATCAGATCCCCTGGATCTGGAGTTATAGGGGCAGTTTAAGCCACCTAATGTGGGTTCTGGGAACAAGATCAGCAAGCACTCTTACTGAGGCATCTCACAGGCCTCATTTTCATAATTCTGCAGGTTAGAAGCAACTGTTATTCTTGTGGTATAGATAAATCTCATATAGACCAAGGAACATATCTGATTGAGAGGCAAACTTGGGAATCAAATTTACACATCTTCCCAACTCCCAAATTTCTGGTCTTTAGAACATTCTCTTTCTCTAAGGCCAGTGAAAGCACATGGAGCTTAGGCTGCCTCTGTAAGCTGGCAGCAGCTTAGAAAGATTGGCATTCATTTATTCCTGCTCTTTGCATCCTGTGTTCAATCTTTCCCAGGGAGTTGTACTTCCTTAGGCACTAATGTGTCTAATATGCACACTATATATCATATTCACAGCATAGGACCACAAACATGACCTTAGATGTATGGCTAGGACCAAACCACCAGGTTAGTGTCTAGCATCAGGAAATACTCAGTGTCCATGACTCATCAAGGCAGTAGAAAGTGCTGGGTATAAAGAAAAGAAGACCCTGTGCCCTGAGCCGACTGTGTTCTACTGAATTCTTCCAAATTCCATCATTAATTTGTTTTCCAGTTACTGCCTCCACATGCTCTGGGATTCTGGTACAGTTGGCATGGCTTTTCAGTGGCTAAAGACGGCTGAATTATCTGCCCCAGTAACCTCTTATGAACAAATAAACTCTGCCTTTTGTCTAGAGAGGAATAGGAGCGACCATGACCCTAGCTAGGCCAATAGCTCCCCACTCTGGCAGTCATATCTAGGCTGAACATTTCTCTAGCAACACCCCCCTCCCTGCCCAATCTCTTGAAGCCTCGTGGACCATTTGCATCAGCACCCATGCACACTCCAACATCTCTTACTAAAGTAACTTCCCTTGACCTGTTCTTATTACAGTCACTTCCATTTCTCTTTCCCTTTAAAACAAGACCGTGAAGGTGGTTGAATGGGAATAGTTTGAATGCAAAATGTGCCCCATAGGCTCATGTGTTTGAACATGTGGCCCTAGCCAGTGGTGCTATTTGGAAACAATGTGGAACCTCTGAGGGTCAGGGCCTCTCCAGAGGAAGTGAGTCACCGGGGGCGGGCCTTGAGACTACAGTCCAGCCCTACTTCTGTTCTCTCTTCTTCAGTGCGGATGTTTCCTGCTCCTGTTGCTATGCCATGACGGAGTGTATCCCTCTGGAACAAAATAAACCCTTTCTCCCTCCAGTTACTTTTGTTGGGTTATTTTATCTCAGCCATGAGAAAGTAAGGAAGACGGTTGTCTGCTCTCACATTCTCCAATTTCTCTCCTCCATTTCCTGCATATCCCACTCCACATTGGCCTTCTCCTCCCACCACTGCACCAAGCTTCTTATAGGATTACCCCGACCTTAACAGACATTTCTGATGACTCACACCGTTTGACCTCTTGATAGTGATATGATAACTATACATTGGATCCCTGTTGATGGAAGTTTCTGTCCCACCCCATCCCATGTCCATTTAGTCCCAAATAAATACATAGAGGCTTATATTAATTATGAACTGTTTGGCCCATAGCTCAGGCTCTTATTGTCTAGCTCTTTCTTGATTATTAACCCATGTCTATTAACCTGTGTATGTCCACATAGTCTTGGCTTACCGGTGATGCCCGGACCTCTTGCTTTCTCAGCAGCTACACAGTGGCATCTCTCTGGGGACTCACTCTCCGAGTTCCTCTCCTCCAATTCTCCTAGTCTAGTAGCCCCACCTATACTTTCTACCTGGCTACATCCTGCCTGTCCATTGGCAGAAATCGCTTTATTCATCAACCAATAAGAGAAACATATATTCACAGCATACACCTACCCTTGTAACCCTCTCTCCACCTGGCCTCTAGATGACTATATTCACTAGTTTTCTATTAACCTGACTATTTTGTCTAATGTTACTTTTGCTGACTCTTCTCACTCTCTCTTTTTCTCTGTCTCTGTCTCTTCCTTTTTTTTTTTTTTTTTTTCTTTTAAGACAGGGTTTCTCTATATAAAGCTTTGGCTGTTCTGGAACTTGCTTTGTAGACCAGGCTGGCCTCCAACTCACAGAAATCCACCTGCTTCCCAAGTGCTTGGATTAAAGGCTTGTACCAACACTGCCCAGCTGACTCCTCTTCTTATACCCAACCTCTAAGCACTGGCACATACCAGGGTCCGGGCTTTGGAGTTCTTTCTTCTTCCACCGATGTGCTCATTGCCTTGAGGGACAAGCTTATCCATGCCCGTAGCTTTAAATGCCACCCCCCAAATAGTCTCCCCACTCTGTCCCACATCTGTATATTCGCAGATGCCTATTGACATCCCACATCTGTGACAAGCACCAGGAAGCCTGTGTGCCCAAGCATAGTCCCTGACCATTCCTACCAAACCAGCGTCTCCCAGACCCCCAACCCTCAGTTTATGGCAACTGCATTCTTCTAGTTGTTCTAACTCAAAATCTCAGTGCTGCCCACGACACTGCTTTTCTGTTATTCACCATAACTGCCTGGCCCGTCAGAAGTGTCCTCAAAATATACTTCCAAAATGCATTCAGAATCCAGCCCCTTTTGCAGAACCCATTGCCAAATTGTACTCCCAGCCACATCTCTGGCCTTAATTTTACAACAGACTCCTGATCTTTCCCCCAACTCTGCTCTTGGCCACTGTCTTCAGCACAGCAGCCTAGATGATCTGGTTCAAGATCTAGGTCCCTCAGGCAAGAGCCCAAGTCCTCAGTGACCCAGAAGTTAGGACTGACCTGGCTTTCCATTTCCATCGTGGCCTTATTTTCTGCTATCTACTTATTAATTTTGTTCCAGCCACACTGTTCTCTTAAATATTTCAAGAGCATTCCTGCTCCAGGGCCTTTGCACATGCTTTTCTTTCTTTGTTATAGTTCTTTCCCAAGGAGTCCATATGGCCAGTTGTCACACTTCCCATCATTCAAATGTCACTTTTGTCAGGAAGCCACTTTTTTTTTTTCCAGACCAGTGTCTCTAATTTTAGTCCCAACCTCTATATTTTTCAAACTATTAATTCTATACTTTTTTCAGAAATACCTTACCAGCACCCCATACTGTATATTTAACTTAGTCTTTTACTGTAAATCTATTTATCTTGTTTATGGGCCTCTCTAGGCAGACAGTAATCAACGGGAAGGTAGGGGCCCTTCGTGGTTCTATTAAATCCTAGGGCTTCAGCACTTGGAAGAACAGCTTATATATCACATATGCTCAAAAAGCATCAGGTGAGTCTATTGAACATTGAGGTGGAGGAGAAACCTAAACGAGATAAATTGCCTACCTAACAGCATTACAAAAGATGCTTGAGGAATACCAAAGGATATAAAAAGCCCAAACCCTAACACTGCAAAGGAACTAAATGCTGGCTTCTATACCTCTGAATCTTGTCCTTAAAGTGCTTAATAAAGTAAAATATTTTCTATTCTTTTCTGGGTACCAGGGGAGAAAATTGCACATACTGCAGAAGTATCAGGTGAAGCCAATGATAAATCAACTAGGATATTGCTTATCATGCTTTAATATCAGCAATAATAAGACACAGTGTGAGGCATGACTTAAGCATCATTATGGGCTTTCATCAAGCCGAGATTTTTCCTAAGACATTTTGGGTCTGCTTCCTGGTCCATGAACACGTGCTTGGTGTGCAGGTGCTAAATGCTTCTTAGCAACTCACACAGGAAGTCAGCTGGGGAACTGAATGCCCGATGGAGGTGAGCAACCACAAGGTTGCACCCAGTGTGTCATGTGATCTCGAGAGAGAGCAAGATTCACATCAAACATTGGGTCTACTTGTGAGCAGAGCTGAGACCTGGGTGATAATTGTAGGAGTTTACTGGGCCAGCAACAAGGGGGAATCTTCCAGCAGGAGGTAGATGGAGAGAGAAATAAACCTGAAAAAAAATAGGTAAATGCTTCAAGGAACAAAAGGGCCCTAACCAAAAAAAAGGTCAGAGATTTTCTTTAAGCCATTCCTACTCATGTGCATACTTTGTAACTGACAATCACCAAAAGTATGATGTGACTTGTGGGTCCCATGGTAGCCATTGCTGTACCTCTTACTTCTTACTTCTGTTGGTACCAGCAGCTCCTAGTTCTCACCTCCTGCCTTCAATCTTGATTTGTACTTGCTGACTCCCATTGGTTTCCCTATTCCTACCTCCATGCTGCTTGCTGATCAAGTGTGAGCCTCTCTAACTTGATCTCCCCAATTTTTGTCCCTTGAACACAGGATACCCTACCTTTATATCGTCGGTTCCAGAGTCTGAATCCCCATTAGTGAGAGGAGAAGGGTGGCAGGCCTGGTGAGTATTCATCAGGGTTCCAGATATGCACCTGGCATATAGAAATTGGGCAGCCAGGGTCACGCCATCTTATCAGAATCTCCTTGTTCTTTGTTTAATTCAACAAACTCCATGGCAACGCAAGACCTGCTCAGCTTCTCTGCTCCCTCCCTGATCTCCTTGTTAGCAACTCTGTCACTTAGCTGAGTGCATGTGAGTCTCTTTCCCTCTCTGTAGCCTCCTTTGATGTCAACATCATAGCACAGAAGTGGGATAGCCTCTCCCCACACATGGGACAATATGGGGGGGGGCGGGACTAAAGATGGAGTGATTCAAGCCTGTGGGATGGGACACAGGGAGCTCTGGAAGGTCATAGTTCCTTGAAAAATAGCACCTGGCTGCTGACACTTACATTCAATTAGATGTCATGCATGTTCTAAGATCATTTTAGGGCAGCTAGCACAATGGATCATTTATGTCACTCAGGATCCCTAAAAACTTGGTGTGAGGATACTATCTTTGTCCTCCTGATCAAGAACCCAGAAAGGCTTTTAACACATGGGTTTGAACACTTCTCTATCCCCCAAAGGAAGCTTTTCTGAGCATGACAAGTACCCAGAATGCATTGGAAAGTGGCAATCAATCATTTCACTGTTCCACCAATATATCTTGATCTTTTTACCGTGATCCTTTTGCTATGGTGAGGATTCTTTTTGTTGTTTTATTTTTCACTTTATGTGTGTAGAATGGTAGACAGTTTATGAGCATTGTCCTATACCAAGCCATTTGACTCACAGAGTCTTATAAGGAAGACAATAAAAGTGTCTTCCAGGGAGCGCCCTTCTGGAGAATGTTACACTCAAGGTCCAAGGGTCATGAGGACCTTGTTTGTGCCAGGAAGTGATCCAAAGTTCTCTGATCCCAAGTCCAAGGCTTTCACCCCAGCCCATTCTGTCTCTTTATGATCACATCCAGGAAGCTGCAACCTGCAGAACGTGTGAGCATGCGCAAGAAGGGGATTCAATAACAGAGTGCCATGTTGCTGCTGTCTAGGGTATGTGATTGCTGTCAAGGACTATTGGTGTCACCTCATCCCGACACTTTTCTCTCAGGCCATCTTCCCTAGACAGAATCAATCTCCCCGCCTCTGTTCTCCTGCACCATGTAATTCAAAAGTGCTAGGAAATCACTTACAAGATTGTAGTACAGATGGGTGGAAGGGGATGGCCTGGCTGAAACTAGAATATGACAACTGTGGGGTTAAGCAGCACCCCCCTGGAGGCCTTCTCTGTGCTCTGGGCAGAGAAAAATCACTCCAACTGTCAGGCAATGTTCAGGGACTCTGTTACAGGTGTCAAGCATATCCCATGATTTCCCCAGAGCCTAGGAGCTCCATGGAAAACAATCAGATGCTTTACTCTGTTTTGAGTGCAGAGCTTTGTGGACATATCTGATGGACTAAAGACCGAAGTCCCCACAGAGAAGAGGCGATAATGGGAAACCTACAGAAAGAAGTGTCCACAAGTGAGGAACAACCATGACAGGGTAAGCTGGGCTCGGCCATGTGGTCTGAGGGGTTCAGGACAAGGGACCCTCATTCTAGGAGGTATCCTAGGAATTCCACTGGACCTCATCATCCTCTACTCTCTAGAGAATCTGTGCCCCTGTGGTTGAAAAAGGAGGAGACAGGCACCTAGTGTGGTATTGTGCCCCAGCCCCTCTTCTATTGGCCCCTCGGCAGGGTCTAGGCCCTAAAAGAGTGTTGTTTCCCCACCAGCTGTACCATAATCAGTAGTTTGGCAGCTAGAAACATTCAGGAAATTCTTAACTACACTGCTGGAGAGAATGCTTACACATACACACAAAATGGATGCTGGTGAATCACACTTCAGAGGCATCCAAGTTCCAGAGACCCATGGAGACATAGAGGAGGCTCTGCAGGAGCCAATAGTCAATAACATGGCTGTGTGTGGTATGCTTTCGCTCTTTAGGGGTCCAGAGGAAGGAAGACTGAGACTGTAGTAGATGGAAAGAAAACCCATAGAACAGCTGAACTGAAGATTTCCAAACTGAGGAGATATTTTTATGGGGTGGCCTCTCCTAATCTCTCAGGCTCCCAAAATAGAACCAGGTCTTGTCCGCATCGTGGGGCAAGCTTAATGATGATCACAGATGTCGTGTCCATGTGTATAAAATTTGTCTTCTGCCTTGTTATAAAATGTATATTACATAAAATCTAATTTTTGCTATCCTGAGAGTCTATTTCAAAGGCACAAAGTACATTTTCATCCCTGTGTAACTATCCCCACCCCATCTATCTGCAGATCTTCTCAGATTAAGTCACTAACTACCTGTGCTCCTCTCTGCAGCCACTGGAAACTATCGTCCTGCTTTCTGTCTCTAAGAATTTGCCTTCTCTGGGTTCTGCATCTAAGTGGAGCTAGGTAGAATCTGTTCTTTGGTGCCTGGCTTATTTGCATTGAACACAATGTCCTCAAGGCTCATCCCTGCTATAGCAGGTACCAGAGTTCCCTTCCGTTTTACTGGGTGACACACTGTGGCATGTATACATAGTGTTTTGTTGGTCTATTCATCTGTCAGCAGGAGTGTAGTTTGTCTTGAAGATTTTTTTCTGTTATTATGATTAGTACTGTAATATGGACACATGCATACCTCCTCCATGTTGTTTCTCATGTTATTTCTCCCTCCCCCATCCCATCATCCTCTCAGCTCTCTAACTGTTGCCCATGCCCCTGATTTTATCTTTAAATGTCTTCCAGGAAGCCTTCTTGACCCTACAGGCCACTGTAGCTTCCTCTACTATGTACACCCCTAACTAATCCTCTTTGTAACATAGATCACTCTTGTTACTTACTTGTGTTTCCAAATCACCAGTGAACTTCCTGCCAAGGGAGCCTTATCTGTCTAGATCATGTTTGGATACCAAAGGCCCTATTAAGGCACCCATTGAAAGCCTAAAACAATTCGTGGGCGTTAGATCATAGTTGCTAATCCAAGTAATGATAAAGTGGAGTCTACAGATAAAAGCAGGAGTGAAGGCTTTTGTGATATTGTTTCTCATTTAACCATGGTTCCTTCTTTTTAATCTTTTTAAATGTTTGCATGTATTGGTGAGTATGTGTGTTTTGTGTATGTGTGTTTGTGTGTGCACATTGAAGCCAGGGGTCAATGTTGGTTGTCTTCCTCCATCAATCTTTGTCTTTTTTGAGTCAAGGTCTCTCACTGAGCCCAAAGTTCACCAATTGACTAATGGCCCTGGCTGGCAAGTTCTTCAGTCTCCATCCCAGGCCACTGCCAGTGCTAGGTTTGCAGACCCTTGCTGTTATGTCAGGCTCCAGTTCTTTCTTCTCTAAAATTGTTATGTGCTATGCTAAACCTCCAGGATGTGCAAACGCTCTGTGCCCTGAGTTCCTGGAGCATCCAAATCAATGAGAAGGTAAGATCTCTAGCCATGGCACGCTGGGAGGCAAGACACAATGAAGCAGTAGTAAAAGGGGTGAGTGCATTTTCAGTGACAGGAGCATGCAGAGCTGGGCTGGTTAAACTGAAAGCCAACGTAGACCTACTAACTTAAAACAATTCAGATTTCTCCTCTCACATTGTTTACATACCGGAAGTCCAAAACTCAAGGCGTTGGTTAAGTCTGCATTCCTTCTGGAGGCTTCATGGGATAATCACATTCTTATCTTTATTCAGTATCCAGAGTTTCTGCATTTGTTACCTCAAGGTCCCTCTCTTCAAAAGCACATCATTCAACCACAGATTCTCTTGTCTCATCTCATGTGTGCATGTACATGCATGCATGTGCCTGTGTGTGTGTATGTGTGTGTTGTGTGCACTTGAGTATGTTGATGTGTGTGTGCGTGCGTGCGTGCGTGTATGTGCCTGTGTGTGTGTATGTGTGTGTTGTGTGCACTTGAGTATGTTGATGTGTGTGTGCGTGTGTGCGTGCGTGCATGTGCTTGCACAGGTACCCACGCCATGCATGTGGAGGTCAGTCTCCAGTATCTTCCCTATCAGTCTTTATTTTTTGATATAGGCTACTTCACTGAACTTAGAGTTTATCTATTCAGCTAGACTGATTAGCCAGTGGTCCTCCTGGGACCCTCCCGTCTCCTCCTCCCCAGAATTCGGATGATAGGTGTACATCACAGTCCCCAGATTTTATGTGGTTGCTGGGAATAGAACTTGGATTTTTGTGATTGCACAGGAAACACTTGCTGACTGAGCTATCTCCCTATCCCTCTTGACACTTCTCTTTTCAGCCTGACCCTGCCATCTTATAAGGATACTTGTGATAAAACTAGACCTAGCCAGGTGGCCCAAGATAATCTCCCATTCCAGACACTTTATCTCAGCTGAGGTTCTCTTTTGTCAGGAAAGGTGCCATAGGACGTGGACCTGTTGGAGGGGCTGTTATTCCGACTACTGAAGAGATCTGAGCCCAACTGGTGGGAGCAGACTCACATGGGCAGGCTTGAGTGTCCACGTCAAGAATGAGGAGGCTGACTAGAAAGATGCTTCGGATGCAGAGGGCTCTGATTTAAGTCTTGGGGGAGTGGAACATTGAGACCCCGGTGGGCTGAGAGAAAAGGTTTTGGTGAAGGAAACATGAGGTGTATTGGGAGGTACTGGGTGTGCTGATACAGATTTCTTTGGCTTCTGATGCCAGACAGGGCTAGCTAGCCACTCTGAGGGTTGTAAATATCCCTGAGCCATTTCTTTGGAGGAGGTCTGCACCCTCAGCAAGGTCTGCCTTGGATCACCTCCCAGCATCCCCCTTTTACATGCTTTATAACGAGCGCTAAGATAGAAAGGGAGTAAATCACACCCGATCCGTGTGTGAGCATTTTCATTGTCAACCCCTGCAGCTGTCAGTAACAGGGAGTGCATAAAAGTGACACCTAGGAGCTGGAGGGCCTTGATTCAGAGGGGTGCTCAGCCCTGAAGTTTGGTGGCCAACACAGGCCCTACTTCTGCAAGAAAACTGCACAGCCAGCTGTTTCCAGAGAACCCAAGAGACGACAGAAGGTGTGCTAAGTCCCCAAGGATATACCTTTTGGTTCCTGTCCCCATCAGCATGTTGGAGAACAAGACCTGGCTGGGGGCAGGCAGGGGAGCAGGATCTTCTTTTCTATGATTTCCTACCCCCTTGTCTTACCCTGGCAGATAGGGCCAGTGGGGATACAGCAGCTGTTAGCTCTGTTACGAAGGTCTCAGCGCTTTTTGTTGCCAGAAGCCCAGGCCCTGTACCACCTGGTTTGGGGCTTTGGGGAGTGTGTGAAGTGGGGGCAATCTAGGCCCTTGACTAAGTAGCCATGGTGCCCTCTAGTGCCCCCTTTTCCCCTCCTCACTTCTCTTTAAGCAGCAGCCAGACATCTAGAAGCTTCTCTGAGCACTGAACCCCACCTCAGTCTGCCCAGAGTTCCACAATGATGCCAGCACCCGATCCTTGTTGGTTACTACCGTCAACTCTTTCATGGACTGGTAACCCAAAAATAGGCAGTTAGTTAACTAATCCTAGACCTGACCACCCCTGCCAAAGTCATTGCAGCTATTTGGTCTTAATCACTCTCATTCCTTCTATTCCTGTTCCTTTCCAGTTAATCCTCCCATGGCACAATTAAAACATATGTCAGAGCACATCTTGTCTGTGCAGACACCTAGTAGTTCTGCTTTTCTCCCAGAATGGGATCTACCTTTCTCACTGTAGTCAGCTAGGCTCTTCCCGATACACCCCTTAAATCTCACCACCTCCTAACCCTCCATCCCCCTTCCAAGCATTCTTCAACATTCATTCTTGTTCCTTCATCTGCTGGCAATAGTCTTCCTATAAATCTCGAATGGGTCTGCTCCCTCACTCACACATGTTCCTTCATCTGCTGGCAATAGTCTTCCTATAAATCTCGAATGGGTCTTCTCCCTCACTCACATAGGTCTCCGGTCAAATATGTTGTCCCCCACACATGAAATTTTCCTCCATTTATATTCAGACACCTATAATGGTACATCTGTGCTACTTCCCCACCAACCCCCAGGAAGGTCAAGTCCATGGAGGCTGATGTTCTGTTTCATCTACTCTAATGCCCATAGTTCCTGGCCGAGGGTAGCTAGTTCATAAAATTTGTTGAATGACTAGATGAAGGAATAGTGTACGTCTCAGACAATGACTAAGGCTATTGTTACATGACAGGAACTGATATGTAGATAATGCTTATTCCTTGCCCCTAGGAACTCACAGCCTCCTGAACAAAGATAAGGAAATACATATAACTTTAGCAGACTGTGATAAATGCTATCAATGAGGTATGCATAAAGCAGCATGGGGATGCAAGTGGTAAGACAGTTAATTTTTCCTCAAGGTCTAAGGACAAATAGAGATGGATTTGAACTTGAGTTGAGCTGCCTACTCATCAGTTGAATGTCTCTAAATTGCCCTTAACGCTAATTGCTTGCTGATACATCCTCAATATTGACTGTTAACCTTCGTGGATAAATCTGCCTGGATTTTCAAGGATGCCCACAATTCGAAAGGCTCATGCAAAGATGTCAGAGTCTAATTTTAGGTCCCAGAAACCATCAGCCTCCCCAGTCCTAAATAGGACCCAGGATAGGCAGCTACTGCTCCAAGGGCCTTGTCAAAGAAGACCTCTCAAAGAGCATTCGTTTGAAGTTCCTCCAAGTATTATTTATGTGGTAGCTGATGGTAACTCAGGATTCTGGCCTCTGGATACAGAGACTTGTCCAGCTCTACCAGCATGAATACAGAGGCTGGAATGAAGGGTTCCAGAGAAGACTCTCTTGGCTGCAACTGGCTCCATGAGACTTCTCTAGGACATGCCATGGCTCTTTTGAGTTGGTTCAGTTCAAACATGTTGGAACAAGAACATAGGTGGTATTAGTTCCCCAGCATCAAAGACACCCCTAACAGGCAGCACTTTGACAGCTCCCCTGGAAGCAGTGATGGTGCTGGGAGACATCCATAAACAAAAGGCATTAGGTAAAGCACCCTAGCTGTGCCTGCCTAGGGGCAAGGCTGTGTCTGTGTAGTCCTGCCTACCAAGGATGGACTCTGAAAACAGCACCAGCTCCAAACATAGACAGATGCATTCACATTTACGCCTTCCATTTCCCAGGGGTTTTCACACACGTTATTTAATTTGGTTCTCACAGCGGTCCTATGAGGTGGAACAGTCATGTATTTTATTGTTTTTATTAGTATTTTTCCCATTACAGTTTATTATAGAAATTCTGGAACGCATCAGAAGGCACAATGAACACAATAAAGATCACGTGTAATCATATCCTGTGAAATATCTATGGTGATGTATCTTTCTGCCCATCCCCCCCAAGGCAAAAATACATAAACAATCTATATAGCATTCTGTCCTGGGGGTGGCAGCTAAAATT